GGCAGAAAGTATATGTAGAACATAGGCTTCTGGATGAGGCCAACGCTGCCGTGCAGAATGGTCTGTGTCGGAAGGGCAAACAAGAAGAAATCAAATGTACAAGTGTGAGTATCAGCATTGCACACCAATGTAACAAGGTTGACAAAATAAAATAATGAAACCATCTACACTATGGGAACCTCATTTGCCAGTAAAAATATGATAATTTTTTTTTACCCTTCTATCTGGCAACAAAACTGACACCTTTTTACAAGGAGTCATGTTTGCATAGACCGCAATACCTGCAGTCATAATACAAACAAAAGAACATAACTCTGATAATGTGCACTGTCCTTGAAGTTGATTGGTCCACACCCGAGACAGCTTTCCTTAGAGCCTAGTCTTACATGGGTTTTGGCGTCATCTGGTCCAACCCATTCGCATGTTGGGTTACAATTCAAATTCATTATTGCATGCAACAAATGAGTCAATAGTTGAACGGAACAGCTTCCTACCAAAACATAGAGTAGGATGTACAGCTGGTGGGTTATCCAGAAGGCATTGAAGGTGTGACTGCGGGCAAAGCGGCTGGCGAATATGTACAGCACCGCAAGCACCGCCAGTATCAGCACACCTGTCATACCTGGCAGGGGATAAGTGATGGGACAGTGATCAGCACACTGATAAAAACAAGAAGAAAAAAATCCTCATTTACTTTAATACAAACATATTGTGTCACCTATGAACTAACTTACCCACGGACAAGGTACACGGAAAGGCCAGCTCAAAATGTTACTGGAAAATGTAATCACCAATTTATCCCAGAATTGAGCAATATCATTCAGCAATATGCAAGTGAGTTGTTTTGCATACTGTTGAATGCCCTATAAAAAAGCCTTTGAGATAAAAAGGTGTGTGTCTGCGAGCCGTGTAATGTAACACGGAAATAAGTGAGTCACCATCCTGGCAAACGTACCTGGTATTGTTTGAAAAAACCACCAGTAGAACTTTTTAGGCATCTCGGACCTAAGTTTCAAGATAGAAGCAGTTGCACAGCATTCATTGACGTGGCAAGCATAGCATCAAAAGGGCATGAAGTTAATAGAGTAAAAAAAAAATGAATTCATGAATGAAAAAACCCACATTGTAATTGCGAGCCTCACCCGTCATTGAAGAACACGTTTGGGAAGAGGCAGGACAGCACGCTGAGTGGCAGCACTGAAAAGTGGTACACGTTCACGACATGGCCAATGCTGTGCAGGACTAAGGATGAGACACGCAAAAAAAGCCATCAGATCAAATTGTGCACACTTCACAAATAGTATTACCACACAATGGAACCGTTAATATACACATAAAAAAGTGTATTTTGTTCAACCCGGGCCAAACGCAAGAGGCCAGGGTGTAGTCTCATTTTGTTCGAGTAACCTGGGTCGCCAGAACGACAAAAGTCAATGGGGGTAAAGTACAACAGCAATGACGCGAATAATGAAAACAAATCTGAGGTGAACCAACCGAATTAGAAATCGGCGCAAAAAAACAACCACATTTAAGGAGGAATCTAAAATTACTGCGCAAACATAAATCAATCTAGCGTAATGTGTGATACATTTCCCGCAGCAAACGTTCGCTTGGGTAATTTATTTTGATTGATTATTGTGCGTACAATGTGACAATTATTGTTGAAAAATATTGGAAAGCTAAACTTTTGTAAACATTCAAATTATCCAAATATGCTGACAAATCACAGTGTGAAAAAGCATATTGTCAATCTTGGAAGTAAACAGACAAGGATTCACGGACTCTATGAAGCTCAATATTCAGACTATATTTGCATATTGTGACTTGATACAATCCTACATAATTCAAATGAAGTGGCATGTTTCCTTGTGTTTGGCACTTATGCATTAATTTGTACACTGATATGAATCTGTGTGGTGGTGGTGGAATGAAATAAAAATGAAAATATACAGGTTTGTAAAGGTGAATGTCGTTTTTTCATGCTTTGTCGAAGTGTGCAATCATGGATAGGTCTGTTTTTTTCATTTGATTTTCTGCTATGTATCCAACATAATTTCACGAACAGAATTGCAGTTCACTTGGACGTTTGCTCTTTTTCCCTCTTCACCGAGCATTTGCTACGTGAAAATTTGGGTAAAGGTGCAGCCGTGCATCGACTTGCTCACGCCACTCCCGGCGAAAGGATGACCAACTAGAGGGAGCTCTGGAGAACCCTTCACTTTTAGCCTTCTCTTCCCTGATGGCCATACATCTTGGTGGGTCACTTGTCAACGTTCTTTATCCTGACTCCAACATAAAAGTCATGTTTAACACTGCATTCATCACGATACATTGTGGAAAAGTTGTAATATTAGACGCAAAAAAAATTCAATGTTTTTAGTTTTTTAGCCAGTATGCGGATAGCGCTGCATGCTTCAAGCAGATGTCTCCACGTATTTAAATTAATGGTGCTGATGTGGCCAGCGCATTGCTCAGCTTCCTTTGTCGCCTCAGTAGACAGTGCACCAAGTAACCGTCTCGATGTTTGACTGAATTCCCCCAGGAAGGTCTGGTCCACATTCAGATGTTCATTGATGTGATACATGACCAAGAACTACAAACAGGAAGCCAAAAAAGTCAGTGCCAAATAAAAACACCACACATACCCTGACTGCGATAGGCGTTTTTTTTTTTACAAAATCATATTATTTAAAAAACATCTTTATACCTGGTTAGCTGGCTGGCTGGCACGTGGGTGGTCAAGTGCGCACGGTAGTGACACCACACCTCGCACCACCACCCTCCATCCCGGCTGTGTATCCCGTATGAATTCAAGGACGTGCTAGCAGTATTTCAAATATGTTCAACTGAATCTTCGAAACACCACTGATTTCACCTTTCATAGCGTCACCCCCTCCGCAAGTCTACTTTAAGCGGATGCATGGAAGTGTCGATTTGAAATCTGTAAAACTCTTTGTCATACATTGGTAGGTTTTTTTTACTTGGGGGGGGGGGGGTGCTTAGGAGGTCCAGGAGTGCTGCTATTACATTTGTTTCCCTCTTTCACTCCCTTATTTATGCTTCGAATGCCCCATTCACCACCACACACCCAGTATACAAAGCAAGCACATCCACGTCTGGAAAGGTTTTGATTTCAAATCGGTTTGTTCATTCTGGTGTCATGTGCTTTATTGATTTGATGAAGAATAAAAATAAAAATACACTGCCTAAACTCACTGGACAGAATGACGGCGGTCATTGCGATGATTTTGTGAAATTCCACGGCCGAGTCGAACGGGATGTAGTGGTTGAGCGCCGTCTCGCGCAGCGCCGTGATGATGTTCCGGCACATGGTGAGGAGGATGAACGAGTAGCAGAATGAAATCCCGGCCGCCGTGCCGCGCGACAGGATGATCCCGCCTCCGTCACCTGCCGGATCCCAAAGTGCTCTGCACCAACTGCGTAATCTACGGTAGAAAGGCAGGTGGAATCAGTAACAGCAAAAAAAAAATCAACGAATGAAATGAACGTTTCGCAGCTAATATCAAAGCCAAAGTGGCCCTTGCCCAAATGAGCATGGGGGACAGTGCTCATATCCAATGGTGGTCCTGAGTCAAGTGGTCCATGAAGGAGCCAACACTTTGAGGTGTTTTTGAAGTCGCAACCTTCTGCCTCTGAGACGAGCGCCGTTGCACAGGTTTTGTTTGAGTTCTCCGACGTGTGTTCGTGTTGTACCACTTTGTTGTTTGGCACGATGTCCTACGTCTCGCTCCGCATGCCGGGAGCTTCTTATGGATTCAGTAGCTCAAAGGAAGCTGCCAGCACGTGGAACCGAACTTCATTCGTCATGCCGGACAACACAAGCACTCTGCCCAAAGCATCAGCGCGTGATAGCAGTAAAAAAACAAAGGTCAAAATGTTTCCATGCTCGATGTGCCAATGCTCGTTGCTGTTATACACCCTGAGGACTTGGTGGAAACCTTACATGGCAGCAAGTGTTTAAATATTCAAATCGTCATGCACCATCATTGGCCAACACTTCAATCCACTGCTGGATGAAGACTGTTCAAGCCACTGCGAGTTGAAGGCCTCCCAAGCCATCACCACCATCTCATACAGCCCTGCGATGTAACAATTCACCGAGCGCCTGCACGCACGAGCTGGCCTCATCGCTCCATCTCGGCGGAAAGCATCCATATGCCTCCGGCCATCTATCTTTCTCCAACAACATTTTTTGATATTCTCCTGTAAGAAAAAATCGGGGGGGGGGGTGCGGTGGGGGGTAGTTGTTGAATTTTTTTAATTGATCTCGAATGCCAATGTGACTTACAGTAGGCGCGCTCGACCATGACGCCGGCCATGATTCCGTAGAAGATGACCACGCAGAAGATGTGGCGGCGGTAGTTTTCCACGTAGCGCTTGACGGCCTGCATCGACTGCCCCAGCTTGCTTCGATTGTAGTGTTGACGCCGGGCTTCTGTAAACAAGCGACCTCGCGGGCTGTTCGTGCCGTAACAGGGAAACGGGGAGTAAAATTATTTATTCGCAAAGGCCGACAAAGCCTTTCTTGCGGAGGCAAATGGTTATTAATTTTTCTCTCAAATGCATGCTCGGGTTGCACCGCTCCCTACGCAGGGAGCTACTTCATTCAGTTCCTGAAATTCCCAGAATGTGGAGCAAAACGTTAGACGTCGTGCCGAACACAACCCAAAGACATGTACGAGTATATCTTATCTTCTTCTTGGTTCTTTCGGTAAAGTCACGTAGAAGGGAAGTAATAAAATAATTAAAATAAAACATAATAAAATATTATATTATTTTATTATATTATTTTATTATGTTTTATTTGTATTATTTTATTACTTCCCTTCTACGTGACTTTACCGAAAGAATCAAGAAGATTAATCCCTGCAGTCACGAAAGCTTTAAATCGAAATATATCTTATCTTCTTTTTTATTATGTTTTATTTTTATTATTTTATTATTTCCCTTCTACGTGACTTTACCGAAAGAACCAAGAAGATGAATCCCTGCAGTCACGAAAGCTTTAAATCGAAGAGTATATCTTAATTGTATGATATCGTTAAGAATGAGGGCATCAGTTTCACTCACTGTCTGTGCGAAGACTCTGCGGGCTTCTCATCTTGTTTACCAGCGACTCTCCCAGCATTAGAACTGATGGGTTAACACGCACGCACACACACAAATGAAGCACATTTTGCATATGAAGCATATATGTATTTCATATATGTGTATTCCATATACAGCACTTGGGGATGACATGACTGAACTAATACCATAACAAGACTTATTTATTTTATCACGAGTGAAAAGGGCAAGCTACACTTAAACTTGTAACAGTGTACCGCTGCTTGTATGAGAATTGGACAGTGTTTGCAATCTCTATCAGTCTTCAACTAGCAGTGGAAATTCAGATATTTGCATGGCAGAAGCCAGTCTTACCAACTTGATACTGATTTTATTGACACTGAAGAGATGTGCAACTCAGTTGACCACCAACTGTAAATTGAGTTAGCAACTCTTTATATCGTGAGTTGAGTGATTTCTCTTTTTTTGACAGTGCTACCTGGCCTGATATTTAGATAATATAAAAAACATCTTTAAAAAAGTAAATTATTTGCATAACTTTAGAGTGAATGACTCCTTTTAGTGGAAGGATTTTGTTGTTCAACAAGTCACTTTGTTCGGTGTCTGCTGTTGTTTCCTCCGTATGCAAAAAGATTAAACGTTCGGTGGGATCTGGCCGCCTGTGTTTCTGCAAAAGCACTCCGGCATATCATGTGTGTGTTCCAAGAGCAATTCAAGCGAATACACACTGTTGCTTTTGGCAAGTGCCTGCCAGTCACACGCTACCAGTTTGTATACTTTTCCGAATTCTACACTCATCCAAGTAGACTTTTCCGCACCGGTGCGCCCTTCTGGGTTTTCAACTATTTTCTTTTCCAGTTTCCCTTTTTGACCGCGTTAAAAGCCCTCCGTTCCACCCACCCCTTAACTCCGACACTGTAACAACCATGCAAAGCACCGAACGGTTTGAGAAACGATGTTAATGGATCCATGGTAAGTAAAGTTGGGGGGGTTGGGGGGGTGGGGGGGCACACTGGATGTGCAGGCCTAAATGCCCCCACAAGCGGCTCTGCGGGAGCGAGCGCGATTTCTCGAGAAGTCAAGTGCCGTGACGGCATTTAATTATTTATTTATTAACGCGAGCGACCTCGCGATTTACCCATCGTGCGATTTGCGATGATGGATGAAGGAGATGGTGTGCTCGATTCTCTTTGTCTTTGGCACGTGCATCCCTGTAAACAATGCAAGCAAATCTGGGTGAACACAATAGCCTATGCGAAATGAAGCATATGTGACGTTGTTTAAACACCAGGTTAACGTGTTGAAAATTTGTGTAATGTAGATACGTGTATACAGATTAATGTAGGCCATTTCTTAGCAACATGTACAAAAAATATATGACACCCTAATGAATTTGTATTGAAAGTGCATTCTCAGTTTACCTGTTATATATCTTGTATATTTAATTAATATGCTCTATTTAAGAATGGCAGCAAATTCACTATTTAATTCTATATTTGCATATTTCCATCGAGCAATATGCAGCACAATTGTAGGTTATTATATTCGTTCCAATGATACACAATAGCGCGGTGCGAATGAAGTTCAACAAAGACAAAGATCCCCCGTATAGCCTTAACAGACTGTAGGGGCAAGTGCCGTTAGCGAGCACCTGTGAAGGCCGGAACGGTACACGAGGGGGTGGGTGGCCAGCACCACGCCCGACCGCCTTTGTCTCCCCAGCGGCGATGTATACACACCGCACCAGGTACTAATTTGAGGCTGAATCGACCTAGGGGAGGCCCTGGACCGGTTCAGATAATCGTCACTGTTGTTGGCCGTGAGCGGGAATCGAACCCGGGTCGCCAGGTTCATAGCTTAGCACGCTAACCGCTACACTACCGCTTCAACACACACACACATACATTTTTGTTCAAACTGGAACAAAAAAAACCCAACGTGGTTTCTTAATGCTTAAGTGATCGTATGCTATTCCACTTCCCCCCAGAGTGCACCCTGACTGAGTGGCGAGTGGTGGCTTCGCTTCTGTACCAGCGACGTGGATTTGCAGGTTGCTGGCATCATGGTAGTGCTCATTCAAGAGCTTGTGCAGGTCCTGCCACGTGAATTCTGTTTTGCCGTTGAGGCCGTACTCGCTGCACACCGACTCCATGATGCTGTCCTCCTCCTCCTTTGGCAAACTGTAATCGGACAACTCCAGAAACGACCTACGTTACCACCCCGTAGACAAAGGAAAGAAAAAGAAACGTGAGAAAGTTAGCATTTGTGCTCATTGTGAATGGAGAAACTAGGCTCATTACTAGTGAGGTGAGTTATGAAAAAGAGAGTTTATGTGTCTCATATGGATGTGTGCGTGCGCGCACACGCATACTCTGGCTTACGACCTAAGCATAGTTTCAAATTCTTCCTTCGTCATGCAGCCAGTTTGGCTGACTTCGTACATACGGAACATCAGCTTAGATTTGGCCTCAGCAGTTCCTGGTCACGGGAAAAGACAAGTTATTTGTCTGTATGCAAACACATTGGTAAGCAGTGATTATAAAGTTGAATGGTCAACACTCTGATGTGCTTTCAGGTTGTACCACATGTTGCATGTTGCACGATGTCTGACATTTCTCTCCACACTCTGGGAGCTTCTTCAGAAACTCATAGTGAGTGGGAGCGCAAAACGTACGACATCATTCAAAGCAATGCAGTACAACCTAAAACACAAACACACATACATCGGAGAGCTATAGAGCACAACGACGGAAACTGACACAACATTCACAGTCGATGCCGTTCATCAATTTCACCGCACTTTAAAAAAAAATGTGTAACCTCAGTTGCAAGGTCTTACCTTTGATGAAGACTAGCAGCACGCTTAGAAGCTCGCTGAAGCACAGGTAGCCATTCTTGTCTCCATCCGCCAGACGAAACATGTGTTGCAGGAAAGTAGAGTCGGGTTTAAGGCCTAACAAGTCCCCAAGCTCACTGGGGGACAGCTCACACTTCACAGGTGATTCGTTCATCGGCTCGGCGCTCACATTCAGCTCGTCTTGTGGTCCAAATGATTCAATCTGCAAAACCTGCCACATCCAATACAATGATTTGCTGGTGATCTCTCTGTAGGTGTGGATTTCGATATTCTATGAAATATCTCCTGTGACATATATATATACAAGCTAAACAAGATCTGGTTTATTTGGTGCATTTTATTAATTGCATATTTCATTTCGATGGAAAAATGTGATAAAAAAAACGTTTACATCACAGCAATAAATTATAATAATACCGTTGCAAAGATCTTTCTGAAGTATGTCTCCAGTATGAGTTGCCGTTGCTCTTTTGTAACTGCATTCATGAGCAGGAACTTTTCATTGCCACCGGATTTGGAAATGAAGTGACGCTCAAATTGTCTTAAGAATGTATCCAAATCTTCTTGAAATCTAGTTCGCTGTAAATCGGAATCAAAAAACAGAACCTGTGGAAGACAGAAAAAAGTTAATATTTCGAACACAGGTATAAAAAAAAATTACTGGATGTGATGACCTCTTGCCCTTCTCCATAAGTATATGGCAGTGAATAGCATATATTTTGGCTATAATAGTGCTCAATTAAATGTATCCATGTATCTTGATTTGAATCTTGATTTGAAGCTTGAACTTCTTTCGCACCATACGTAGCTAACCGTGCTAATCGGAGGTGGCCTACATTTTCACATTCATGACCACAGAACGAAGGAGCAAAGAGTAGAGTCAGCATTTTGACCACTGGTTCAGGAATCTTCAATGAAGATTCGGGACATGCTGCACTTGTTCCGGCAGAGAAAACACGTTTTTTTCTATTTTAACCCAACAGTGTGCTTAACATAAGCTTAAGGCAATCCTTGCAAAGGCAGTTGGTGTACAACACACCGGTAGACCTCTGATGAGCACGGTTAGCTACGCACGGTACAAAATAAGTTAAACATAAATTTCGATTAAAAGCTTTCGTGACTGCAGGGATTCATCTTCTTGGTTCTTTCGGTAAAGTCACGTAGAAGGGAAATAATAAAATAATAAAAATAAAACATCATAAAATTTTATTATGTTAAAACATAATAAAATGTATGTTAAAACATAATAAAATTATGTAATGTTTTGTTTTATTATTTTATTATTTCCCTTCTACGTGACTTTACCGAAAGAACAAGAAGAATAATAATAAAATAATAAAAATAAAACATCATAAAATTTTATTATGTTAAAACATAATAAAATTTATGTTAAAACATAATACAATTTTATTATGTTTTCTTTTTATTATTTTATTATTTCCCTTCTACGTGACTTTACCGAAAGAACCAAGAAGAAGTTAAACACACGTGCATACATTGAGGCGGTGACACATATCGTGCGCGGTATCGCACACTCGTAACGGCATTGGCCCTTGACCTCTTGACGGTGCACGGCACAACGCCGGTGCGCAGCACGCCAGGTGACGTCACGGTGCGGTGCTGCTGCTGCTGCTGCCTCACCAGGTCGTACTCTTTGGGCACGTGCACCAGCAGCAGGTTGCCCCTGTCACTGGCGGAGAGCAGTTCCACGCCCGACAGGGCCTTCACCTCGAGGCTGCGCAGCAGGGCCCCGGCGCAGTCCAGCACCTTGATGGAGCCCGCGTCGTCGAACCTCAACCGCACGTCCCGCAGGGGTTCCTTCTTGCCCTGCCATTCGCTGGCTGATAGACGCAATGCATTTGCACTGAAGGTAAAAGGTGCAGCCTTGCAATTGCTCGCTCACGCCACTGCTGGCAGAAGGGCCTCCATTGGAGGGCGCTCTAGAGAGCCCCTCGAGAGGGCATTTGTACTGTATGTTGTATCTTTTTTAACTAACCTCTCATTGACAATTCATTGGTATTTCAAATTGCAAGTGCCTTTCACATTAATTTTCAGCCAAAACACGTGATTAAGTTTGAGAGGATACTACCCAAATAATGTATGGCTCTGTGAATTATTTTTTTCCGGCTGCCTACCTCAAATGAATACAAAGGATATCCCACACGTTCATGCGGTACCTATAATTGCTTTAGGCTGCAGGGAAGCTCCATTATATCGTTGGCCAACATTTTCATATTCATGACCAAAGGACAAAAGATTCAGCATTGTGCTCATAGATTCCTGGTTGAACATTCACATAGTAACCACAGCTATTCTATTTTCCCAGAAGTCCTCATACCAAAATGGAAAATGGCATTGTGAAAGCACATCGTGGTTTAAAGCAACAACAATTGCCATATGAGGCATGTAACAAGTCACGCACTCACCCAGGCACAATTAATCAGGGCCAGAGCATAGTGTTATATGGTGTTGCATATTTACATCTTTGTTACCTGCTCCATGTAGACCCCTTTCCAAAGTGTAACGTTCAATTCCTTACCATGAATTCCATCTGCTCCGGGCTTCTTTCCCGTCTTCAGCTGCTGCTGATCTTTCATTTTTTCAAAGCTTTTCTTCCGTTGGCGCGACACGATGCACAACACTAAAATGCACACTGTTAAAAGAAACACAAAAATATTCACCACAGATCGGTACTTGGGAGATATCTTACCTTTACACACGTGTACAGTCCGGTTCTCAGGACCAGTTCGAACATCACCCGCCACTGTGCATCGTTACCATTCTATAGGGCCAGGCCTCGGTTTTTTACGTACCTACAGGCAGCAGCAGAAGCGCCACGATGGTGGCTGCGAAGCTGCCCGTACTTCCTGAGAAATAGTCGATGGTCTCCGGGGGCGTGCACGGCTCCAGGTCGCTCAGGGCGAGCTGCTTGGGCTGCTGGCAAGGGTTTCCTAACACACAATGAATTGGAGAAAAGCAGAAATTACGAAAATATGCATTTGTCCATGCGAGCCTTACTGAGCCTAAAGATTTGGCATTTTTTCAGGAGGGGTATTGCTTGGTGGGATACTGCAAATGGTTAGCACACTTGACGTGCATTCCAAGAGGTTACTTGTTTGATCTCTTGGTTGTGGCACTTGAAACAATGGTGCACGTTTCATGAATCCTCCCAGCCTGTGTCCACCCAGCAGTGGAGAGGAGTCTACGAGAGTCAGTAAGATCTGTACGACGCGTGTTGGAGGGGTGAAGTGTGGGTGGCCAGTGTGAAAGAGTAGGCCAAATACCCTTTTAGAGGGGCTCTCTAGAGCTCCCTCTAGTGGGAGCCCTTCTGCCAAGTGGCAACAGCAAGACATTACAGGGTTACTCCTTTAATAATTGTTCTTTTGTTTGGGACGAGTTGCCAATTTATTGAATATTTCCGTCACTATTTGTGAACAGTAAGTGCAATGCCTGCAAGTACGTGGGCAGAACACTCAAGCGCCAGACAGGTAAGTTATTAACCCACTTGCTGCGCTGCCTCCTACAAATCCTTCATTCACCTTACGGTAAAGTCTTTTGCAAACATTTTTTTAAGGTAGAGAATATTATTCCAAGGCTAGCACACAAAAGCAATGGAACACTTAATAGAGAAAAATCAACCGCTGTGCCGGACACCTGCGCTTCCACATCTACGCTCCCCCATCGTCACCAAAAACCGCAGCGACCAGCAAGGTGAAGCATATTGAATTAACCCCCACTACCCGCACAATGTGGGGAGTGAAACCGACAAAGATCTGTGCAAGTGGAGTAGTTGCGGTGACTGCGTTGCACCATTGTACTGTTAATTTTTTGGTTTCCTACACGGTCGGTGGGTTTGCCCTCCAATTCATCTATAGCCCCACTCGATGGCAAAGCGCATCGGACCTCTCGGTCGGCCTCACCAGCTCTCCAGAAGAACACTTCATCCTGGATGGTGCGGTTATTGACCCTCATCACGGCTTGCAGGACACTCGAGAATTTCGTCCTTCGAACAGCTTCCACGTCCGACTTCGTGAACATCCTGAACGGCAAAAGGAGGTTCCCCGTAGTAGACACGTTTCATCATCACCCTCGTTATCGTCGTCATCATCATCATAAGCCATGGTCAATCCACTGCTGGATTAAGGCCTATCCCAAGCTGCCACCATGTCACGTTTCAACACGCCACAAATGAAATGAGAAGGCATGTAAAGATTCATTGCTCTCACCAATTCGATCAATTCTTACGATTCGATTTTTTTTTTTAGATTGCGATGAACGTCGCGCCTCGAGTCGTTCACTACGAATCGAGTGACCTCATTGCTTCCGACGCACACACAGAGTCGAAAATAAGGGCTGCTTGCTTCTCACATTGCACAATTCGGTGCATGTAGGGTGAGAGTAAGAACAGAACATGGCTCGATGAATCCTATCGCATTCAATCAATCGATCTGGATTTTACGTGTCAATATCGCCCTCAATAAATTAGGCATGCCTGCACATTGCAGCAGAATGGCGACGATGAGCACGGTTGGCTACGTTCGGTTCAAAAGACTTTTGATTTAAAGCTTCTTTCGTGACTGCAGGGATTCATCTTCTGGGTTTTTTCGGTAAAGTCACGTAGAAGGGGAGTAATAAAATAATAAAAATAAAACATAATAAAATAATTCTCACGACGTTTCGGCCACAACGCAAGCAGCCGTCCTCAGGTGGAGAACAGGTCTGTCGAGGCGACAGCGTCTGAATGTGCTGTCGCCTCGACAGACCTGGTTTTCACCTGAGGACGGCTGCTTGCGTTGTGGCCGAAACGTCGTGAGAATTATTTTATTATGTTTTATTTTTATTATTTTATTACTCCCTTCTACGTGACTTTACCGAAAGAACCAAGAAGATGGGTTCAAAACGACGTTCAACGTACAAACAAACATAGAGCAACAGGAATGAGAAAAGAAACGCGTCATGCCCGCAGCGGCTAACACCGACTGAGCAAAGTAAATTACAACCGAGCGGAAAATAAAGTGCAACAGTGTGCGATGAACAACATGAGAAATGTAAGTAGCAAATAAAAATAAGTAAACAGACAAGTTTTTATTTGAAGCGTTCGTTTTTTTATGAGACGGTGCCTGAAGGTGAAAGTATTCCCTTAATCTTCAGAATATTTTATCGAGCAATTTTTCCACGCATTGTTGCTGCGCGATCACATACAGAAGCACACTGCACGTGCGGCATGATGTATAGTTAAAACATAGTGCATTATACATACAAAGGGACAATCAATAATTGTATAAAATACCACAATGCATTATAATTCTACATGCAAATGTGGAAAATCTTTCACCGCGGCATTCTGCAGGTCTGTACGCGGCCTACTGGCAATACAAGTGCCTGCCAACAGTTGCACAAATACTATCTTTTTTAATCGCATATCAATTCCATCAGTGGCACTTCACTTGTATTCGAACACGAGTTGTTGTGTTTCAATGGCAATCAGTGGGTTACAGCGCCATTGCAAGAAACTTGGAACTCAATGAGCAGTAAACGAGCACGAGTAGAAGCACCTCACCCGTTGTTGGTGTTCTCAAACCAGAAGCGGTCCCCGTCGCGGATGCGCTCAAACTGGTCGACGAGAATGCGCGAGAACAGGGGCCCAGGCCCCCCCTGGCACTCCAGAGCCCCCCCGGCCACAGCTCCAGCCGGGAGATGTCACCGTTATAGACCTGCTTCAGTCGCTCGATAACCTGATAAAAGACAAAGATCCCCTGTTTAGCACCGATAGACTGTTGGGGCAAGCGCTGTTAGCGAGCACCTGTGAAGGCCGGCACGGCACCCGAGGGATGGGGCGACCAGCACCACGCCCGGTCGCCTTTGTCTCCCAAGTGACAATGTTTACACACAGCACCAGGTACTGATCTGAGGTTGAGTCGACCTCGGGGAGGCTCAGGACCAGTTCAAATATTTGCCACTATTATTGGTCATGAACGGGAACCGAGCTCAGCGCAGTGTGCTAACCATTGCGCTGCGGCTTTCCATCTATACAAACACACATACATACACAAATACACAAAGATGTCATCAACATCAGACACTCCATCATCTTGTACACACATAGAGACACTCAACCACTTACTGCTATAGGCTCGATCACGTAGGATAACTTTCCTGAATGTTATAATGCACTCTGACCCGAGTTGAGGACAGAGCTAATGTACATATACTTTCATTGTTCTTGAGAAAACGTTAAAAAGGTTGCGCAAGACCGCACATCGACGTACCTCTGGATTTCTTTGACTAAGCGTGGGATTGATATCTTCCCACTTGGTGATTGGGTCCAAGTTCATGGCTTTCCGCATATTAACGTAACTGGGCAATCCGTGGTCCCGTCCACGTTGGATGTTAATGGCCATGAGGTCCAGCCGGGAAGCCTTCATAGGGCCGTACATGCTGTCTGTAGCAAGCAATGGGGAAAAGGCACGCGTGCAACGATTGTAATGGATTCTAGATTTGAAGCTTTCGTGACAGCAAGAATTCATACTCTTAGTTTTTTCGGTAAAGTCACGTAGGTAAAAAATGAAATTAAAATTAATAAAAATAAAATAATAAAATTCACGACGTTTCGGAGGCAACACAAGTCTCCATCATCAGGTGGGACCATCACAGCCAGAATTGCTGTTTCAAGTGAGGCAGGGATTCCAAGATGCCCCCCCTCCTCCCCCTTAACTTGTATTTAAGAACTTGCATCTTGGAATCCCTGCCTCACTTGATACAGCAAATCTGGCTGTGACGGTCTCACCTGATGACGGAGACTTGTG